AAGCGGATGCAAATAAATGTGGAGGCACTACACATCTATCAGATCCAACCCCAATAAATCGAGGTCTGGGTCCTTAGTTAAGTATACAGTTGCACTCGTTGTTGCCTCATTTTTTGAAACAGTGCATAATATTTCCCCAACAATATTTAGTTTGCTACCAGAAGCTCTGTGTGCTAGTTGCCTCGTTTGGTGAACTGTAGGTCTTCCAATTTCCTCCCAAGTTTTTGGACTGATAAGGGTGATTTCAGATGCTGTGTCAAGTTGAAGACGGATACGGTGTGTATTCATATCCAAAGTCACATACTTCCTTCTGTGGTGAGTTCTTGTCTGGTTATGAGACACCAATACTTTGTTTATTGTCTTACCAGATCTGTATTTCTTGGAATAGACTTTTGCGGAGTAATATCTGCGAGTTTTTTCCTACATCGGGTTTCTTTGTGGCCTTTTTTGTGACATTAAGTGCAAAAATATTATATTATTGTAGTGCCAACCTCCACATGACCAACATGGGGCTGGTTGTCTGTGCTTTAGTGAGCCGCAATCTTCCTTTTCACTAACAGCATGCACGTATGATGGTCGGCTATTGTTTTCGACCATGGAGGTATCATGCACTACAAGAAGTTTTTCCATACAAAGAATATTTTTGCACTTAATGTCACAAAAACGGCCACAAAGAAACCCGATGTAGGAAAAAACTCGCAGATATTACTCCGCAAAAGTCTATTCCAAGAAATACAGATCTGGTAAGACAATAAACAAAGTATTGGTGTCTCATAACCAGACAAGAACTCACCACAGAAGGAAGTATGTGACTTTGGATATGAATACACACCGTATCCGTCTTCAACTTGACACAGCATCTGAAATCACCCTTATCAGTCCAAAAACTTGGGAGGAAATTGGAAGACCTACAGTTCACCAAACGAGGCAACTAGCACACAGAGCTTCTGGTAGCAAACTAAATATTGTTGGGGAAATATTATGCACTGTTTCAAAAAATGAGGCAACAACGAGTGCAACTGTATACTTAACTAAGGACCCAGACCTCGATTTATTGGGGTTGGATCTGATAGATGTGTAGTGCCTCCACATTTATTTGCATCCGCTTACATTTAATTTGCTTAAGCCCTTTCGATTAATTTATTTAACCAAGCCATTCGCTTAGCAACAACTCATATGTACCATTGGTATTTTTTATTATCTGCTTTGTATGAGCTTGTACGACTGAGCATTGCTTACGCTTACGCACTTACTCATCCTTTTCGCTTTAATGTTAATCTCGTAATATTCCCATGAACTCACATGATTTGTATCGCTTGCTTTTGACCTTGTCAATCATTCGTCGCTTTTATTCATGTGTGTGCATACCTATTTCGCTTGTCATATGTCTGTCTTATTCTTATCTGACTATATATTCTTAGTCATACTCTATCTCTTTGAGTTGGCTCTTAGCCTTCTCCAATTCGCTTCTCTGCTACCTTTATTGTGGTGTGCTACAATAAACGTATACGATACTTGGAGTTCATCTTCTGATTTATTAACCGTCAGACGTCATTTGGGATAAGACAATCTGAACGAGCTTATTACGAAACGTAAGAACACGCCCGAATCGGCACACTACAGATGCATTAAAATTAGCAGACCATCCTATCAACAATATCTGCAGCCGAGTTAGAATCAATAACCTTTTAGAGTCAAGTCTGAGAAATGCCATTATAAAAAGGTATCATCACGTATTTTCGGAAGCGTTGGGCGTATGTACGAAAGCCAAAGCACTACTGACTCTCAAGTCAACAGCTATTCCTGTTTTTCGACCAAAAAGACCTGTACCTTATGCTTCTCTGCCAGTAATTGAACAGGAACCGGTACGACTTCAAAAAATGGGTGTTATTGAACCTGTGAGTTTCTCCAAATGGGCTGCACCGATTTTGGTGGTCAAGAAGTTAAACGGCAGTGTCCGTCTATGTGCTGATTACTCTACTGGACTGAATGATGCTCTAGAACCCCACCAGTATCCCTTGCCTATACCTGAGGATCTTTTCGCTAAGCTAAATGGAGGCAAGGTGTTTGCAAAACTGGATTTATCGGAAGCTTATTTACAGATTCCTGTCGCTAATGAAAGTAAAGATCTGCTTACTATAAACACACATAAGGGCCTATTCCGATATAATCGGTTACCTTTTGGAGTCAAAACGGCGCCCTTCATATTTCAACAGTTGATGGATACTATGCTACATGATCTCCCTGGCGTTGCAGCTTACCTGGATGACATAATAATTATGGGCGTTGATAGAATAGACTTAGAAAAGAAGCTCGACCAGGTGCTATCAAGAATATCTGAATATGGATTCCGGCTTCGGGTGGAAAAATGCGACTTTTGCATGCAGAGTGTACGCTACCTCGGTTTTATTATCGATAAAAACGGGAGAAAACCAGATCCAGAAAACACTCAAGCTTGAAAGCAATGCCGAGACCGACAGATGTTCCCACACTTCGATCGTTTTTGGGGCTATTTAGTCATTATGGAGCTTTTATCCCTGACCTTCATCGTCTAGCTGCCTCATCTTTTGCGTTCGAGGTGCAGTGAGCTGAAGGAATGCAACTAGAGTTAGTCGTGGAGATACGAGGAATATTAGGCGGTGTAGGAAGGATTTGATTTTGACCAAGTTGGTCTCGTGCGCTGTTACGGGTATGAGGGCGGTTGTCACTTCCCGGCTGCCCACACCGTAGAAGGTTGTTTCTTGAGGAACCTGAAAAGGAAGGTAGGTTAGTGTTGGTCTTAGAGACCTGGAAGCGTGACCGCAGAGTCCAAGGGACAACTGCTTGAGGTCGGTCATGCACGGCCTTTTCATGAAAGGATTTTTGAATATTAGCTCCGCTCTTAAAAGCCCTTAAAGGGCACGCTTACGGCCTTACGGCGTTCCTCTATTCTCTTGACCTTGAGGGTTCCAACTGATGGCTTGTCTTGTGAGGCAATTGGATGCTTTTCGCAGTATGTCCTATCCACTTTCATCGCTTCACCCTGATTTTCTCCTCCGCAAGAATCTGGTTTGTTTTATCCTACAGTAGGTCGTTGCTGACGGTATCTGGCCAACGGATCTGAAGTATTTTGCGTAGACAACTGGTAATGAATACTTGAATCTTCTGGATGAGGGTTTTCGTAGTTCTCAAAATTTCCGCCCAATATGATAGAACTGTCTTGACATTGTATTGAAAATCCTGATTTTGGTATTGATTGATAGTTGTTTGGAGTTGCAGATGTTTTTCGATTGTAGAAATGCAAACCTTGTTTTTCCGATCCGCGCCCTCACACATCTGCATCGAATCCACCTTGGTTGTCTATGACGCTGCCCAGATACGTAAATGTGTTGACGTCCTCCAAGGCATCTCCATCAATTGATAGTAATGCAGCAATATAAAATTAAATTCTCAAGAGTTAGATGTCTATGCTGTCAAATCACCGTATCCTTCAATAAAACTAAGTCTGTATCTGTGTAAACTATGTAGTGTTATACCAAATCACTCTTAGTATACTGTGAACAGATACAATGTGGTAATTATTAGTTTACATTTCGCTATCTGAAACTTCACACAATGTCAACTAATCAACGTATATCACGTGGATGAGACTGAGTAGAAAGTATTCCTTCTTCGATTAATAAATATTGACTAGCGTTGAGAAAGCCACAACCAGTGTTCAGCATAAAGAATGTAAGTTTCATGGAAGAGTAGATGAGGTATTCTCAACTTAGTATTAAAAAAACACAGAGCTCAAACTCTTTTCTTCTTAATTGATTACCTAGGTATCTATTAATACACAGAGCTGCCTATTAGTCAATCGTAAAACAATACCTATTTAAAAGAAAATTGCGCATACAGGACTTCCGCAACTCGCAGGATTCTAACCCAGGACCTACGGTCTTGCGCTCGAACTTCTGAACCACTACGCCGGTATCCAACGGTGTTATTGTCTAACTCCGGCCAATTCATGGTTTCGCACAATCTTACACACTGTCTTCGGTAGATACTGTCTACACCCGGACAGGATTCAACTCCACTGGTCTGACATTCTAACTAGAACCCAGAAGACTCCTCACGGAGCTAGTCACTAATGAGCACAGGTAATTGCATAATGGGGTTGTGGAAACTGTCAGGTTACTCACTGAAATCACGGTAGTCTAACATTGATCGATTCATGATTTTAATGAGTAACCTAACAATCTCCACAACCCTATAATGGAAAAAAATTAACAGCGAAATGCTATAAAATAAGTGGGACAATAGTTTTGACCTGAATAAACAATCTTTGAATCATTCACTCTGGCAAAAAAAACATTAGGTTCACATACGATGAGTCGAGCTAGTGCCATGAGTTAGGATTATCACTCTATAGAGTTTTCGTCACCAGCTATAATAAAAAAAGATTCCTGTTTGGTATTAACAGTTTTGAGTCGGTTTAATAAATTGCTGTTTGGATTTTCATTACGAAATGATATCAGCTATGATGCATGGCCTTATTAACCTTCTGTTTCCACATTTAGGAAACTTAGAATTGAGATTTAGATTTAAATGGGTAAGATTCTGTTTAGCTTCATTGACTACATATTAAATCACAACATGTACTTTGACACACACATAATCCGTCTTAGGAGCTGGTATGTTTTGTAATTTAGCCAAAGCACCAACTTAAATTGACTTTCGGTTGCATAATAGAAATTTCTATTGATTGAAATCAATTCACATGTAGCCAATTTCTTACTTCGTTAATCATAACATACGGAGTTATCTATCGCTAAACTCCAAATTTTGCACAAAGTAAGTGAGGAGTTGTCGTGATTGTGATTAATTAACCCAAAGCCGTCAGAATATTATGATTTTATCTTGATGACTTGAAAGAATAAATGTAGGTTTACTGTTATTTGCTAATGTTGAAATACAAAGTTATAACTTGATAATACTATAAATATTCATCAAAGAAAATATCATTTAAAATAACCTACTGTAATCTGATAATAACCCACACCATATGGTCTTCCAGGATGTTTAAGCAATCGTGCTTGACGAATACCTGTTGTTAAACGTGTTAAAAAAACTCTAAGAGAACAAATATGTCCCCAACTATCTCCAAGTGCAGGTACTAAATGTGAGTTTTGATTATTCTTGGATTGTTCCTTTCCCACTTCGTCTTCTTCTTCCAAAATATAATCACATTGATCTGAGTTCAGATGTTGTACATGGAATTTGGTTGTAATTTGATTTGTAAGAATAACCTGGAAGTTACAAATTGGATGTTTTTTTTAAATGTGAATTAGATCAACTAAATAGAAATGTTACTATTTTTATAAATCGTTTTTATTGAGAAACAAAAATACATTAGTAAAGTGTTGAATTTGATATGGGTGCTCATTCAAAGCAAACAGCCGAATACTACTGTCACATATGAATCTATTCACATTAACATGAATAGAGTTAACTAATGTAATACATAATAAATTGAATGAATATTGTGTTAAACAACTGAGTAGTTCAGTGTTAAGTATTAGGCGATTATCTTGTGAATGAATGTACACAAAATATGTTTAACTTATTGAATGAAATTTAAAAAGAAAAGGTTGTCCTGATTACTAAACCACACTTGTCAACCAAATATCTATACAATATGGTAGGTAAGAATTTAGCCTGGTAATCGGGTATCTTAACTTTATTCGTTGCTGAATAATCTATATTAAAACCTATACTTGACAATCATTCATGTTTACAGTGGTAATTACTTATGAATACTGTTTAGATCCAAGATTTTGTACATGTACGTTAGTCAGTTGTTCAAGATTTATTGTCTTATACATGAAAATAACGAATTTAAGGTTGGTTACAGGCAAAAAACTTGATTTTTCGAAATGTTTATGCATGGCATGCACAAGATGGCAAATGTTCCAACAGCATTTAACTTACGTTAGAAATTATACGTAGAATGATAAACTAAGTAACAAAATTCAACTTTCAGCACAGACAAGCACAAAATCAACCAATTCAATATGACCAGATAGATAAAAAAAAAGTATCAATCAAAAAGGAAATAGTTGGTGTATGATCACCTGGGAAATGCGAGGGGGAACTTTGTTTGATAAAATCTCATTAGAAGAACAGTTATGGTGCATAAATCAATAATTCATGTAAATAACCTTCAGAATGGTGTATGGAGGTCCGAGAAACGTTTCATCCAATCATAAGTGAATAGAACCATCACAGAAACATCTAGGAAATGAAGAACCACGTGCCAAGATTCCGACCGTGTGTTTCATCATAACGCTATTATATTCAGTATGGTCCTCGAACATTCCAAAAGCACAGGATCATCATAGGTAACAATAACTACCCTCATTTTCTGTACACAAAACAACCATGAGAGAAAGCGACCAATCTATAACTTCACGTTTTTCTTGTGTGTTCAAGTTGCAGTATGGATTTAAGTCTAGGATATTTGGAAGCGATTAGGAATCAGATCTCGCGCTCATTTAGCTGGCTCAACAATATCCCTCCGCTTTAAAATAATGATTACAGAAAAAATATCTCCCTGTATTTTAACAAGAAAAAATGCATTTCGGCCAATGAAACCTATAGACTTCTTATGTTTTAATTAGAACTCACTTCAACTGAACAAGGTTATGAACAAGGCATAAATTACATCTTAATGGGAGAAGTATTAGTAACAGTACGTGAAGTGACATTTGAATGTGTGACTTATTGACTGAAAGTTGACTACCTACCTTTGTTAACTAACTTGACAAGTGAGATGATAATTAAAATATTCAAAGTAGTATAAAAGTAAAAATGATAATATGCAGATATCAAGAACAAGATTTCACTTGATAATTTCAAATAAATTGAGTATCAGGTGAATATATTTGTCATATCCCAAAAAAATAGAAACCTTTCCTAACGTATTGCGATTTGTGCAAGCCACTTTTTCAGAGGATAAATAAACAATTTAAAATAAATTTAAGTTTAAAATGTATAAAGCAATACACAAAAAAAATCACCTAACGACCAATCCTGTGAAATTTGAGAAACTCTAAATGACATCGACAATAGCAGTGAATAATAAATATCTTCAGTAACCATCAAGTCGAAATTAAAAATATCAACAGCAACAAAAAAATATACAAAAAAGCTTTTCCAACAACATTAGCACAAATTTCAGACAGAAGTTTATTTCATATTGTTGGGGATGTTAGATCCCCAGAACTCGCTTGATAAATGCCTTATTTTGGATTTCACGTTCGCCAGCATGGGCTGACCAGCTGACCTTGAGATGTCATTTCCCATTAAGAAAATCCTTGTCTGTGGTTGGCTGCTGTGTATTTTAGTGTGCTACTTTCGTAACTAACCCAAGGACGTTTCTTTGATGTATAAATAAACGAGAGTTGTGTGCTTGATTGTATTGTGATTGCTAGGTGTTTGTAGAATATACTTTCTACGCTTACCAAGTCTTCTGTTTTGCAGTTTGGAATTCAAGGTAGCCTACCTGGACGCTGGTAATTGTCTCGTTCGCGTTTATCGACTAAGGTGAACTCGTAATAGCCTCAAGCATACTAAGTGACGAACATAACACATATAAATCACCTTGACCGGAGTGATATGAAATCGGTTTGGCCAAATTTATTTTTGCTTTGTTCCTTTGTAAAATTAATGTAATTTGTTTATGAATTCTCTGATGAAATTGATTTATACAAAGCCAAGTAATGTTTCTTTTTTTTTCTATTCAGATAATTTTTTTGTTACATAAGACAATCGTTTTCTTCAAGTCAATATAGAAGAATCTAATATACTACATTGTATTTTATGAATTGGAATTAGAACAGAACAATAAATTCACTAAACACATACAACTAACTTACTGCAGCCTGTTGACGTCCAGCAATACAGAGTAACATTTGTGTTACACTTGCCAATAATCGATTACGTTGAGGAATATCGTCAAAATCGTAACGAAATGGGAGAGCAATACTGTCAACCACAATCAATCGAATCTAAATTAAGATCAATAAATATTTATGGCTAAAATCAATCATGTTGGAATTGATGAATTGTACATAAACAGTAAATCATCTTTTCAGCGAACTAATCATTCTTGTTTAATGTTTCAACAGGTACTTTCGATCAATTTAAATATGAACACCTTCGATAGCTTAGATTTCACTAATCCATAAAAATATGCAAGATAATAATTGATATGTGACTGGAAATAATTAATGACATCACAAATGAAATCAGATACAAGTCAAGTAGACAAACTATAGACAAATTGTTCAACAGAATATTATGTTAATTTTTAATCTCAATCAGTCAGTTACAACGTACAACTTCGTACGTAAGTACATAGGTTGCCATACCACATTAGCATAGAGACGCAACTGTCAGTTCAAATCCCATGGTGGTACAGGTAGTAGAAGTATTAGCAGTAATGTAGAATATTAGGGATCGAATATAATATTGAAGAAGTATGATTCAGTGAGATAAGTTTAGAAAGAGGAAGATAGAAATGCTGAGGAATTCAGGTTAGAATTTCATAGAACACAAAGAGTGGATGCACCTGCGTCATTGCAAACGATTCTGAGCCATGTCATTCAAAGTCTCTAACCATCGGTGACTTTCGTCTCACGGGCCCCAACCAGGTAGTCTACATCTACCAACATGACTCAGTTCACTTGTCAGTGACTTCATGGACTTTTATTCTGGCCGCCCTACCCCGGTTAGGCATACGTAACATATGTCCCAGCCATCTCAACTGATAGAGTTTTAATACTTCATCTATTGATCTGCCATGCTTACCTAGCACCCGTTTCCTAACAACAGCATTGCTTACTCGGTTGTCCCAGGATACACGAGTAATGCTTCGAAGATAGCTATAACAGGATACTAATAAACTACGAATATCCTCAACTCTTAAAGGCTATGTTTCGCAACCATATAATAGGATGGACCGAACTGATGAGCAGTATACTCGTCCTCTGTTCAACAAACGGATATCTCGCCTACACCATAAATGACGCAAGTTGGCAAAAGCCAATCGAGCTTTCTATATCCGCGCTGAAATTTCGTCAGTCACCAGGCCATCAGCACTGATGAGATTCCAAAGATAAGTGAAGCAGTCGACAAACTCAACTACTTCATAATTTTTTTCAAATTTTTAATCTGACCATGATTTACCGATTTACAATCTATATTACTCAAGAAAATTTTAAAAGATCAACTATAAACAATAGTTATTTTGTAATGAATTTTACATTAACAATTAAGAAATCATTAATTTATTCCATTCCAAAAATAATCGACAATACATCTAACTTATAAGATTATTCATTTTCATTCATATACAGTGAAATAAAGTCAACATTTTTAAAAAATTAAATACAGAATAATAGTTTACCAAAGGATGTTGATCACAAAATTGTTCTAAATGTCGACAAACAGCTAGTAGCTTCAAATGATCAGTTATTCGTATGTAATGAATTCCAGACATTAGACTTTCAACAGTTGGACAATATTGTTTAATAAAAGATTCATCTGTTCTTCCTGGATCTGTTAACAACAAATAAGATAAACAGTATAACAAAAATATGAGTACAAAAATGACAATAATAACTAAGTGTTCGTTAAATGATTATATAAAAACAATTTACTGTACTTTATAAAATATATTACATTACCCAATCGAAATCTCATGGATTTCCACTGAAAACTTTATCTAGCCGCGATAATTGGGGTATAACAACATGAGCCGATGTATGCACGCTGCATGTAACATATATATATATATATATATATATTGTTGAGTTTCATTGAAATCATCAATCAACCAATATTAGAGCATCATTAGAAATTTAGAAAGCACTGGACAGTCGTTTTGTCCTAGGGTGAGACTCCTCAATAATGCATACTCACGATTCCGTCCATGGGGGTCGAACACAGGACTTGTGGCTCCGCGCGCAAACAATTAACCTTCTGACCACTGAGTCAGCATACAATGGTAATAATGTCTGAATTTATTCGATTAACAACAATGCGTGACAATGCACCATTGTCTTGGTTGGGTAACTGTCCCAAGGTCGAATAAGTGTGAGGTGATTTGTAGGTGGAATTCGAAAGCATAACGGGATAAGATAAAATGAAATATGGAAATTAATAGGATGGATTATGTAATAATTACAAAGGACTTGAAGAGTTTACATAAGTTTATGATCATTTGAAAATAGATACGGAAAACAGAGTAATGAGATAGTAAGCATCTAGAATTCGAAATTGATAAGATGAATTATAATAACTGAAAAAGATTTTTGAAAAGTTCAAACAAATTTACAGAGTTGGGTGTGCGGAAAACATATGAAAAACAATTTTAGGATTAATGACATAACGATCAGCTTGCCGAAGGTTGCATAACAAAACAATGTAACACAAAACTTTACCAACTTTTTATTGCTGGTAATAATAACACCAAATCTATTGATTTTATCATTGTTTGCGAAAAAAATCATTTTCTAAATAATAATTATTACACAACTAACAACAATATCCGTCGCTTTCAGAATTTAACCGAACAGTGAATTGTAGTTACTGAAAAGTGTATCTCCAAGAATACAAACATTAAAAAGGCTTAAGTGATCACGAAAAATACAACAATATAAACTTTAGAAAGTTTTATGGAGAACAGATTAAAGTGTAGGTAAATTTCACCATTGACTGATCTCATTTGGAGTAATGTTGGAAACCATGGAGCATAAGCAGTTGCCTTTACTTAGAATAGGTCTTCCTGATGGAACTGTACCTCTGATAGCCAGCATATTGATTAAGGGTTCACAAAAAGATGGATAGGGGTTCAGTCTGTTGTATGCGCAACTGAGGAGTTCGATACTAGGATAGAACAACTGTCCAGTACTCCTAGGTTCCCAATGATACCTCAAAATGAGATCGATTTATAACCTACATATAACATAAATTATAAAATACCATCTCACTTGATTCAATATAATGACGTTTACAATGATTTGCTAAAGCAGAAGCTATTTGTCGAACACGTTCCGGTATGAAATTACCTTCAGTATCTAGAAATAAAGCTTGTCCATTGAGACCACTGAACCATTTAGGAATTTGCACATTTACACAAGCTTGAAGGCTATCAAGTAGGTAAACAGAATAAATAAATACATTAAATTTCAAAAATAAAATAATATTCTTTGTAATTAACTTGCAAGTTGTAATAATTAAACTATGGTGCATATACAATGTGATAATGATTTACTTTTAAGTGATATAATGGAAGAGAATGTTTAATTGAAAATATTAAAGTAAGAAACACTACAAGATGTTAAGATTTGTAGACTTCATTATTTATTATTATTTATTCTCAACAATAAGCTAAATTTTCGGGCAGAGTTTTGGAGGTTTTGTGTTTTTACACATTTGAAATCATCAATCAATCATTGTTAGACCACACGATTAGAAACCTGGAAGCACTGGACGGCCGTTTCGTCCTGGTATAGGACTCATCAGCAGTGCGCATCGCAGGATTCGAACCCGGGACCTTCGGTATTGTGAGCGAACGCCTAACCATCGGACCACTGGGCCGGAATCCAACGGTGTTAATGTTAGTAATCTAAATGATCGTTATTTGAAATAGTCAAATTCTAATTTCTAGTAGACAACTTTAGTATCAATAGATGTTAGTCATAATGAGAAATTAAGCACCAAGTTTTAAAACAGTTTTCCTGTGAATAAATCAACATACGACCAAGCCACAGAATTCTATGGTGTATTTTTCTATAGTAATCAATTCTGATTAACACTGAGAATCTGCATTGTGAATTACTGCTTTTTATTCAGTAGTTTAATTATGTTTGTGAAAATTTGAAATTAGAACAATGAATGTGAATCTACTTTCTTTAATAGTGCAATGGTATTTTATAATAATTTGAAAGTATAAGTTGTTTGGTTAGAAAAGTAAACACATATCTCAGTAGTTTCCATCTAAGAAACTAGTTAATTTTTTTCAGAATATAAGAATAGCCAAGCCAAAACTTGGCATAAGATTAATGAAGTCACTGACTGATGAACTGAACCGTAGAGTTAGGTTCGGACTACTTGGTTGAAGCTTGATCAATTATTGTAGACAATGGCTGAAGACGTTAGATGATATGGCTCAGAATTGGTTACACCGAAGCAAATGCATTCACTCTTTCTGGTAAAATACTAATACTTGGTATTCCGACCATTCATTCCTTCTCAAATCATGTTTTCTAACATTATTACACGGACTACAATCATGCATTTCGGACCAATATACACGACTCATGGACTTTTGTGACGTCTTATCTTATTCATTCTTGGGAGTGAAAAATATCAGCCAAATAAATAACTTCACTACATGAATTAGAAATACGGAGTTGAAGGTAGCCTGTAAGGAATGCATGAATCAGTAAGCTCGATAATAATAACTTAAGTGATGAATCGCATTGACCACGTTTACAATAATGCAACCAAAGAAAATGAAATCGAATCATATAACAGTATCAATTAATGAATGGTTAGCTTGACTATCATAAGCTATTTCAATAAATGAATATCAGTGTTGATATCAAATTGTTTGAATCAATAACAAATAAGTAGCAAAATTTGAGTGAAATAAATCAATTATTACTGGGAGCTAGAAACTAAACACTCATAATTAAACAATCTATTTATAGGTAGGATTTAATTCTAGAGTGCTTTATTCAACGTTTAGAATGCTAAAACACAGCATATTTTGGCCTTGGTATTGATTAACGGAAGTTGTAAAGAAAAACCTCAGATAATACTGCATTTCTTTGCTACAATATATCAAAAAGGAAGAATATAGTAACAGATTTCACTGAAGAAAGGAAAGAAGGTAAAAGTTACAACATATATTTATGCATAAATAAACTATTCTTAATAAGCGTTTTGTAGAGAGAGAAAGAGAGAGAGAGAGATGTACAGTTTTACAATTGATTTTGCTACACACACAAAAAAAATACTAAAATTATTCGTGATCAAGTAAGCTAGACAAGTCTACCATTAGATAGTAACAGATCAATGACAGTCTTAAAAGAGGAAAAAGGTATAATACCACAAAAAGAACAAATTAAAAAAACTCCAACTTCTCGACTTGAACAAGACTAACAAATTTTCAGTAGTTGTTTTTTGATCAATGTCACAGCTTGTGAAGGAAAATTTATTTCCAGACATTACAAAATTTTGTAATTGTGATAGGCTAAGACTAAATTTACAGTTATCTTAGAATTTATATGCATTAAACATCAAAGTAATGGATAAGTCTTTACTCTACTGCCGACTATTTATGCCTTGCCTTGTATCGTTTTGCAGCATTTATGAAGAATTAGTAAGTAAACAGTGAACAGGAAACGAACCTGACAAAAAACAAGAGAAAATGAGTGAAATTTATGAGTTGTTCTTGACACAAGTTCCCCTAAACAAAGAACATAGGACTTAGAAGAGACAGAGAACAGACCAGTATCACTGAACTCGCCGGACATCGGAGCAGCAGTTGACCCACTTATATATGCTATCCCACCAATAATCGAAGAAATATGCACCAGCCGAAACAATGAAATCAAACATACAAGTAACGGCTTCGGAAAGATCTGGAAGGATTAACAAGCACCGAAAGACGGGAAAGAAGGACATCAAAGAAAGAAGATCTTAAGTATCACTCTACAATCAATACCACGAAAATTCTGCAAAAAAAGTTGTTGAACTGAATAAAAGATTTCGTAGACGCCTGACGTCGAGATAAAGAGGCTGAGTTCCGTCAGGATATATCGTAAACTGACCGAGTCGCAATACTGCAGATCACTGCTGAACAATCAAGTGAATGGAACTCACCACCACACATTAACTTTCTTGATTAGGGACAAAGTATTTGATAGTATAGATAAGAGAACCTAATGGAACTTTCTTCGACACTACAGTGTACCCAGGAAGACTGTCACAATCATAGAGAATCTTGGCTACAATGCAAAATCACACATGGACGACAGTTAACAGATGAATTTTAGGTGAAGATGGGTGTCAGAGAGGACTGCTTACTCTCAGATGGTTGACTGGATTATGAAGGTCTCTATGTAGCACGTACTGGCAAAGCAAAGGCAACATCCCTACAAATGAAGAACATCTGGAACTGAAAACAACCGTCAGCCAACATCATAGTCAGAATTTTCAATAGAGACTTCAAGACAGTTCTGTTGTATGGAGCTGAAATTTAGAGAACTACTACAACTGTCATCGAAGAAGTATAAGTATTTAAAACCAACTATCTGCGCCAAATACTTCAGATCCGTTGGTTAGATACTATCAACAACAACCTACTGTGGTAGAGAGCAAACCAGCTTTCAGTTGAAGAGGAAATCAACAATAAACGCTAGGGGGTTGATAGGACAAACATAGTAGACATTACTAGACTGAGTCACAAGGCAAGTTCTAACTAGAAATCCTTGGGGTGAAAGGAAAAGAGGCAGATCAGAGAACACATTACTCCGGGAATCGGAAGCAAACATCAACAGAACTTGGGGACAACTGGAAAGAAAAGCCCAGGAAAGAGTAGGGAGGCGAATCCTGATCAGCGGCTAATGTTTCACAGGGGGTAACAGGTGTAAATGAGAAAGTAATTAAATGTATATCAGATCAGAGATTAAAACAAAAATATTTTAGGTTTACTTTACTTCGAAATAAAAAATGCCTAAAAGTGTCATTAATTTCAATACACTATCATTCTACCTAAATTGATGTTCATTTGTGACGGAAATCAAAATTACATTACACACAACGAAAACAACCTGTTATTCATCATCACATTATTAAAGGTTGTAAGTAAGATTGATTAGAACTAGAAATGCAAATCATTGAATACCGACTCAATGTTATAATAACATTTAAGCTATCGTCAATAAACCCAAAAAGTCCAAAGTTCAATCATCAGTGACATTGTGCATGCATATCGCTGAGAAGTCTGACAAATTGGCTACCTAATGGTTATCAGTTTTAAATGATTATCTAAACAGATCCAGTCCATGATGTAAACTATAGAAGTAGAATATGTTAATTAAAAATTACAAAAAGCTTTGATAAATTTTTAATACATGATCTCATGGAACAGGTTTATGAAACCATAACAAATAACTGTTTTACCCTATGAATATTTAAATGATGCGTTATTACATAGATCTTCATAAATATTGAAGATTGAAAAAAGCTTTTTTTTAACGTCACTAGATTTAAACAACAAAAACACGCAAAATGAACATTATTATTTGTTGCTTATGAAATATAATTTACACATAAAGTAATATATATTTTGGGTAAACTATTAATATAAGATGTTGAAATTATCAATTGATACAATGAATTTTTTCATTGTTCATTTCATTCATTGTTGAATTGAAACAACAATTCGATTATTTTTTTCTCAATAAATCAACGAAATCTCAACGCGGATACAGAAAGCTCGATTTGCTTTTGCCAATTTACACCATTTATGGTGTAGGCAGCTCCGTTCTCCTATATGGATGTGAAACATGGCCGTTAAGAGTAGAAGATGTTCGTAGGTTACTAGTATTCGATCATAGATGTTTAAGAAGCATTGCTCGTATATCGTGGGACAACCTGAGTAAGCAATGCTATCGCTAGGAAACGGGTTCCAGGTAAGGATGGCAGATCAATAGATGAAGTATTGAAACTTCGTCAGTTGAGGTGGTTAGGACTTGTGTTACGAATGCCTAACCACCGACTGCCTCGACGAGCTATGTTTTGTGGTGTAGGAGTAGGTTGGAAGAAAGCTAGGGGCGGCCAGACCAAAACATGGCAGAAATCCATGAAGTCACTGACAACATGACTGAGTCATGTTGGTAAGTGTAGACTACCTGGTTGGGGTCCGCGAGATGATAATAATCGATGGTTAGAGACCTTGAACGACATGGCTCAAAATCGTTTGCAATGGCGCAAGTGCATCCATTCGTTGAGCTCTCTCAAATACTAATCTTCTGGATTCGTCAGCACCTCTACCTTTGACTTTCTAACCTTATCTCACCTAATTATACTTCTTGAATAATATCTTCAAACTCTAGTCTTCTTCATTACCATTAA